AATGGAAAACCCTGGCTGCAGGATTCTAGGAATCAAATCGATGACTGAGAGCCTCAACATCCAATTTACCAATGTCCATTCAACTTCTCTATCCACTAGAAACTTTCTGCTTCACCTTTTTTTTTTTTATTAATTCCTTTTTCGGCAAATGCATTTGTAGTATTTTACTCAAGTAGGAAAAGGGCTTGTTGATCACATGACGTTAGGGAAGGGGACTGCATGCTCTCCTCTACTGAGGTGTATTCCTAGCCCGATTGCCTCCGAAGCAAGCTTGCAAACAATCCTCATGGTTTTGCTTCTTTTTCTCATCTTTCATTCAAGAAGGACCCGGACCTGGCTAGTTATGAATCTTTTGATGACTCTGCGGTATATATGATTTGGTTATTAATTATTGATTTCCTTCCTTGCTGCTTTAGAGTTCAATTTATTTTATTTATTTATTTATTTTGCCAGTCATAGGGCCTGAACTCTGGGCCTGGGCGCTGTCCCTCAGCTCTTCAGCTCAAGGCTAGTGCTCTACCACTTGAGCCACAGCACCACTTCCGGCTTTTTCTGTTTCTGGAGTGCTGAGGAATCGAACCCAGGGCCTCATGCACGCGAGTCAAGCACTCTACCACTGAGCCATCTTCCCAGCCCCAATTGCTTTTCCTTTTGACTATTAATATTCCTCTGGACAGCTCAGTTATTGTGAAGTGTCTGAGTACAGAGCTGGAGGCTCTTAGTGACTGAGACAATTTCTGCCTCCCAATGGCAGGCTATAGTGAATGGACAGTGAACTACAATCTACCAGATTATAGCTTTTTCTTGAAGGAAGGGCAGCATTTAGATTTTTTTTTTTTGAGTCCGGTTGTGGGGCCTGAACTCTGGGCCTGGGCGCTGTCCCTCAGCTCTTCAGCTCAAGGCTAGCGTTCTACGACTTGAGCCACAGCACTACTTCCGGCTTTTTTCTTTTTTGCTTATGTGGTGCTGAGGAATCGAACCCAGGGCCTCAGGCATGCAAGGCAAGTGCTCTACCACTGAGCCACCTTCCCAGCCCCAGCATTTAGATTTTTGTTTCAGTAATATTAGCAGCATGCTTTGGGTGTGGGAAATGTTCATTAGACATTTTTCAGTGTTAATTTGTTAATTTCTACTAACAGAAATATACTGTTGACACTTAATTTGTATGAGTTGATTGTTTCCCCTTTGAGTTTTTCAATAAAGCCCTGGCTGTTTCTAGAAAAGTCAGAAAAGACTCAGAGATAAGTTTTAAGTGAATATGAAAGTCTACTTTTTATTTTACTCATGGCCTCTGTTTGAGCCATACTGCCTGGGTTTTGGTAGTTATTTTGGCCATGGAGTCTTAACAGACTTAGCTTTGAACTGAAATTCTCTGGATCTCAGCCTCTTGAGAAGCTAGAATTACAGACATGAGCCACAAGCATCTGGTGAAATTCCACTTTTTATGTTGTTTTCTGTATTTGTCTAAGCCATGACAAACAAAATTTGGACTTCTGTTCTCTTACGATCTAGTATGTACTAAGTGATTCAAACACAGTATGATATGAAGAACTTCACCCATCTATCAAGGGAGTAAAGAGCGTCCATGACTGCAGGTTTGGGCAGACAGCTGTTTTTCCTCCAAGAATTAGTGGGAGAATTATGAGAAACCGGCTCTCCTTTTCTATTGAAAACAGCACAAATTCGTCAGGAATATATAGGCTTTCTCCTTTTCTTCCTACCAGTTTTACCATAGAGCCATAAAATAAGGTGATTGAAAACTACCTCACCATACATCTTAATCGATGTTTACTTCTTCTTGCAGGTGTGGTGCTATTGTGTTTGAATCACTTAGCACATTCTAGATCGTAAGAGAACAGAAATCCAAATTTTGGTTTAACCAATGAAGGTAGACCTGGGTTCAGAATGGAACTGTTTGATTCAGAGACTCAGAAGCCCTCTGGGAAAGGCTTTCTTCATATTTTTATCTGGCGAGATGGTGTGCTTGGATGATCGTTAGTATTTTGAGCATACAGAGCAAAAGGGCTGCCCCTGATGTTCTCAGAACTTGAGAGGAAAACTTTCCAACCACAGCAACATAGTTGGCTCAGTTGTGTCATGTCAATTGCCTACCCGTAACCGTGGCAGGGATTGGTATTTTGATAATTTGCTTAGGAGACATACTTGGTCCAACAAGTATGGGAGTGGATATTGGGAAGAATAGGCTGGCACAAGATCTGGCTTAAAGTTTAGAAGAAGTAAAACTACGTTTGCCTTCTTCAGCTGGACGGTTCAGGTTGTACCAAGCAAAATAATGGCATACTTGCAAGCAGAATCTACTTCTCTGTTTTCAGAGTCCAGGATCCATTTGGCTTCTTTTGGCAGTAATTTCTTACAGTGTTGCGTTTTTCCACGACTGGGGCTTGAACTCAGGGCCTGCGCTTTTTCCACTCTAGATGACCACTCTTATCACTTGAGCCACAGCTCCACTTCCTGCTCTTTGGTAGAAGTCCCATGGACTTCCTTGTTGGGGCTGGTCTTGAACTGTGATCCTCAGATCTCAGCCTCCTGAGTAGCTAGGATGACAGGCGTGAGCCCCGGGCTCCTCCTGGCTTTCTTGCAACGCTGGTTGGCTGCTTTCTTCCATTCGTTACCCGGGACGTGTCTCTTCCCCAGTCTTCCTTTTAGTTGGTCTTTACTGTCTGCGTGGACCCCAGTCAGTGGGTGCCATTCAAGACAACCTTGCTTCTCACCCAAATGGGAGAAACTGAGCTTCGGTTACTTATTTTTCTTCTGTCTTCTCTGGGGTTCCTTCATGGGGGGTGGGTGGGATGAGATGGGCACCGATGGGGGGGGCTGAGTGGGGATGGCGGAGAACCCCAAGTCCACGCTGCTTTGTGAGGCGCTTGGGGGTCGGGGGGGGTTCTGTCCTATCTTCGGCCACCGCCCCTCCCCGCGCGCGGCTTCCCGGGGTGGGGGTGGGGGTCGCCG